GACGACGCTTGCCCGCTTGCTCGTTGCATTATTCGCGCGGCGACTAAATAATTCACGGTGGTTGCTGAAGAGGGCAGCACCAGCCGGCGGCGGCAGGCGCGCCGAGGCGCGGGCTCCCCCGTTTGGAGGCGCGCGTCGGACGCATGCGCGGGGCGGACCACGCCGATCGATACAGCTTCGTGATAATAATTTGTCGCCGTTGATTAATAAATCCTTCAAGTTATCTTTTTAATTCGAAATGGGCGTCGAGGAGAAATAATTGGGGCCAATATGAACAGCGTACGCGTTTACAACGTCTCTTTTCGGATCCAGTGCATGTCGTTCCGGAACACGATCGGAAGCAAAAAACGCTCATAGCTATTATTGACCAGATAGTAAATGCGTGTGGCCGATTGTTAATAGGGTCGACGCTCGTCGCTAATCGATCTCGATGCTTCATATTTCACCGCGGGCCGTCGGGCCGTTTTATAACTCAATTGCGCGTGGGCGGGCGCGGAAATGGATGCGGAAAAGCGGCGTGCATGCGGCATGAGCCAGCGGGCGAGCGCGCGCGGCCGGCGGGCGCGAGAAAACGCCAAATAAGGAATTACATTTATCGATGTAGGCGCGGCGTCGATTCGCGGTCGTTCGTCGCCGAGAGGCATCGAGACGCCGCCGCGGTCGGAGGGGCGTCGGGACGCCTGAGTGGTCGTGCAAAAATGGGAGCTGGCGCGGAGTGGCGCGCGTCGCCAGCGGCTGGTGCGGGGCCATAAATCTTGTCGTAACAATCGCCCGCGCGAAACAAAAAGCGGCGGCGGTCCGCGTTGCGGTGGCGGCGGCGCCCGGGGCCCGCCCGCGAGCCCGCCCGCGCCCGCCGGCTCGTCCATCGCCCGCGCTCGCCCATCGCCCATCGCCCGCGCCGGGCGGCGGGCTCGGCCGCCGCTCGCCGCTAGCCGCTCGCGACTTGGTGCATTTTCCTTCGCTGGGCTCGCTTCGAGCGCCGCCTGCCCTGTGCTGCTGCCTCGCCCGCCTGGGCTAGTGAACTTTTCCATCTCCAGGCCTTATCCATGTGATTCTGACGACCTAAAATAAAATAAAAAAGTTTTCTTGTTATTTTTGTTTATATAATTTTATTTTGGTCAAGTGGTGCTTAATCAAAGTGATTTTCAAAGAGCTTATTTTATACAACTGTGGAAATTCAGAGGAAAATTTCAGATTTTAAAACAAAAAATATTTTGGTACAAAATGCAGTTGAATGGTATTTATTCCTATAAAATGGAGCCTGATGGATGGTCCGAACCATTGAATTTGGTAAAGAAGAAAAACAAACCTGTTGCTGTAGTGGCTCCCTCTTCTGTTGTTGAGAAGAACAACGATAAAATGAAATTTGATAGTCCAGAGAGCCAACCAATTGTAAATGAGAAGAACGATTGTAAAGATATATTTGATTTATCAGTATCAAAAAAATCAGAATTGGTTGATGAGCCAAACCCTTTTCTAGCATTGCTCAGGAAGTCCTGTCTCAGTACTGCTACTTCCACATCCATCAATGACAAATCTGATGATGATAGTCAAAAGCAAGAAAAAATTTCTGATGAAGAAGATAATGAAACATCTGTAGAGAAAAAGCAAGAAGATAGCAAAACAACAGAAACTGCAGCATCCTCACTGTTAGAAAGCAACTTGAAACGAGAAGGATTGTATTCAATGATTCATAACTTAGCCTCAAGTGAACACAAATTCCTTACTGCCTTATACATGAACAGTTTGCTGAATACGCCAACCACAAATACAATGCAAGCATCGTTTTCCAATCCCATGTCTAATTACTTGCTCAATGCTGGATACAATAATTCTTCTTTGACTTCTCTATCTGAAGCGTATCAAAATAGACTTGGAGCAACACCTGCTTTGAACAGTCTCTGGACTCTTGCAGATATGCAGCAAAGATTATGGCAAATGGCTACATGGCAAGAGAACCAACAAACAAGTTCTCAGGGTAGTAGTTCAAGTACTGTTGTACCAATCATACCTAAAATTGGGTCTACAGCTGAGCCAAAAGTCAGTGGCAAATGTAGTCCTGTCCCTGCCACACAGAGTGCTGATTCACTTAAGGAATCTCTTACACCCAGTAGTAATAAAATAGTTCCCAAGAAACCAAGACCTAGCTCTAAAGGGTAATTTTAAAAGCCCATTGTTACTGTGATTTCTCTTTATTGTCATTGTTTTTTCTACGTAAGAATACTCATTATTATTATTTCAGGTTTTTTTCCAAGGATATCCTTTTTTTAATAATACTAAAAATTGTTTCTTGCAGATCTTCGTCTATGGATCAGAAAAACACCACCTCTTCTGGAACAGATGGAACAAAGACTCAGGAATCAGGACAAACTAGTAATAATCAAGGTATGGCCGAATATTGTAGTTTAGGAAATATATGTTATGACATTTGTTTTTCATTAATTTCTGCATTAATTTATTTTATTATAATCAGGATTATTACAAAGCATCTAGCAAGAAGTCATAATCTTATTCATTTAGAGATCAAAATTCATTTACTATTCTCTAATTATTGAATTCAGTATTTTGTAAAATGTATCTGTACTAGCTTTGAAATGAAAAATAAGTTATACTTTGTTTATAGGCAATAATATGATGCAATGCAATACAATAATAATATTTCAGATTTTGAATCCTAATTTATGGAAACTTTTATTTCATAACAAGATCTATAATTTCTTGTAGGTTTGCTCTATATTAATAGAATTATTTCATTTCATTTTATTTTTAGATAAAAAGAAACCTCACATCAAGAAACCCCTGAATGCCTTCATGCTTTACATGAAGGAGATGAGAGCTAAAGTAGTGGCAGAATGCACACTGAAAGAAAGTGCAGCTATCAACCAAATATTAGGCCGAAGGGTAAGTTTAAATCAGTCACTATTGTGTTCACTGTTGGTTCTGCATTTTGTCCACTTTTATGTTAATGTTTCCTTTCCTGACTTGTGTGTGTAGCATTTCACTACTTTTTGTGGAACTGAAGATACATAAGGGAAGTAAAAATCAAAACTGTTGCTGCAGAATATGTACCTTAAATAAGAAATGTGTCTCTTTGTAATTAATGAACCCATAAATCAGCTGTGTTTCTATCTTCTTTTTCTCCTCTGTATTTCTTTTTTCTCACAAAAATTAAAACTTGGGGGTAAGTGAAGTTGTGTTTTTAATTATTTGTCACAAATTTGACTTCACATTCCATGTATACATTAGAAACAAAACCAAAAAAAAGTTTTCATCACAGATATGATCCATTTGCTGTATGAAAAAAAAGTTCTTCTCTATTTCTGTGTTAACAACCTTCTTTTCATTATATTTTCCACTAACACACAACAGTTCTCTTTCATCTAATACTGCTGCATCATCCCAATTCCATCAAGAACCTTGTTTCTGGAGACACAAGGTTATACTTTTCTCAGGGGAATACTTTGATTTTCAATGAAATAATTTTGATGAAATACATTTGTTTGAACAGAATTTTGAAGCAACTAAAGAATTTCAAAATTGACTGAAATTCATTAAATAATGATTGTTCTTGTGGTTCTGGGGTTGGTTCAGCTATTGATTTAATTTGGAAAACAATCCTCTACCTACTGATGACAATGCAGAACAATTTTTCAGGCTTCTCTGATCTTTGACATTGATCCACGTAGTTTCCCTGTGTACCCCTTGGGGATCTTTCCATGGTGATGGAATCCTTAGCTCAGTGTTCTGAGAGTTCGTAGTGGTGGTTTTCCTCTATGTAGGAAGTAGTACCTCAAGTACCGGCTAGTGGAATTTCAGTGTCTGGCCTGTTGCTTATAGTGGCATTCGCTATCACGGGAAGAGCAAGCGAAATACTATGAGAAGGCTCGGCAGGAGCGCCAACTCCACATGCAGCTCTATCCAGGCTGGAGTGCCCGTGACAATTACGGGAATGGTGCAAAGAAGAAGAAGAGAAAGAAAGAACGCTCAGCCGACCCAGGAGGTACCCTTTCCAGTAGTGCTAGAACAGCAGTGACAGGAGACAGTACTGTAGTGCCGCGCAAAGCCTTTTTGAACCGATAGTGATCGTGTATCCAGATGTTCAGGAAAACTGTCGCGACCCCTATCCACAGACACTGACGATTTTTGCTGAGCAGAATAGGTTGGTCGGGAGATGCTTTAATTTGTCTCCAAAACAAGCCGTATAATAAACATTTAAAAAATATAGATACTCAAATAACACACTATAACTTTGCTGGCTGTTCTTCTAGCACAACAAAGAAATGGAAAGTAGGGCCCCCTCAAAATTTGTTTAGAGATGCGGTTTTCATGATCTTGGGAAGTGTTTGTAATGGCTTGTTTTGCTTCTCCCCTAGTGGCACGCGTTAGGTCGTGAAGAACAAGCCAAGTATTACGAACTGGCTCGCCGAGAGCGGCAATTACACATGCAGCTCTACCCCGATTGGTCGTCTCGTGCTAACTCTTCCCGCGGCAAGAAGAGGAAACGCAAACAAGAGACAAATGATGGAGGTACTTGCGATACCCGCCTCATAGCTCCATTTGAAATTAACTTTGATGCTTGTTTAGGAAGATGACTGTGTCTGTGATTGGTAACGTGTCAAAAGTTAGTGGGTGTAGCTGAAAGATACTGATTCTTTCATCTATCCCATATCCCAATGACAGATGCCAATCAACGGAAGGCAGTTGATGTAGCATCAAGTTAAGAGCAATTCGAGCAAAATTTTATTTTTCAAGTTTGTTGCATGTAAATTTATTTTTCTGTGAAGGGGAAAATAATTTTGGGGGGTTCGGGTTTGGAAGATAATTCTCTCTTCGAGGGTCAGTAGATAAAAAATACTTTATATCTCTAGAATGTGCATTTTGCAGGAACCTATTCTGCTTATCAAAAGATTCTCGGTGTACTGTTTTATTGGCACAATCTCCTCTTCTTGTTAACAAGTCCCAAAAATATTTTCAGAGAGTTTGAAATCTGAACCCCATTCAATTTGCACTTCGTTTTTTATTTGAAAATAAGTGTGTTTAGTTCATTTATTTTTTTCATCCAAAGCCTTGTTATTTTATTTTGTGCTATTTATGTTTTTTGCATCTCTCTGGAATGACTGTTCTAGTTGTTATTTTTGAAAGCTTGGGATAGGCTTGATTTTGTGTTTTGCCTGGCACTGGTACTGCATGTTTGTTTACTTAAGTGCATGCATAAGGAAGAAAATATAAGTTAATCGATTTGATTATTCTACAGGGAACAGCATGAAAAAGTGCCGTGCTCGTTATGGCCTGGACCAGCAGAGTCAATGGTGCAAACCTTGCAGGTAAATGATTCATTTTGCCATAAATTATGTGTGGTTTGTGTGTGATTGTGTGAGTGCCTAGTGTACATACATGATTTTGTTTGGTTTTATTTCATTATTATCATTATCATTTCTAGTTCTATTTTGATTTAATTCATTTCAGTCTCATTTATTTTTTCCTTGTTTAGGGTTTAAAAAGGGTCACTCTTTCGGTCACAATGCAGTTCAGCCTTAATAAAGTATTATTTCTTCAACATGTTCACTCTGCACTTACAAACCTGATAATAAAATAGAATGTAGCAATCCTAGCAGTGGACTATTTGTAATTGAATAGATCCTTCACTGCTTTTAGTTTGTCAGGTTTTAGATTGTAGACTTGCAAGGTAGCATTCTTTTTAATTATGGGCTTTAAAGAGTATTTCAACTTGATGTTAGAAACAAACAAAATGTAGTGAAAAGTAGCTACTATTATTGCCAAAGATAACATTTATTTATGATATAATGGTACATCCTTTAAAAATCTACCCTTTCTAGTAAACTTCTTAATTACTTACTTTCATATAAATTTGTTATATTTTCAGGATGTAGGATTGACATCATTTTCCTTATTAAAAAAACATGACCCAAATATTGAAAATAAACATTCAGCAAATACCCAGAAAGTGTGTGTTACAATGAGAATTATAATATTTTGAAAATTGCAAGTTTTAGATAATACTAAGTTGCTTGCAACCCTCTCATATGCATGCATTTTTCTGAGTCCATTTGGAGATCTTCATATAAGCAAATATGAGTGACCCTTGTTACTGCCCTTCAACTATCGTGCCAAAGGGGGTTCATGTAAAAAGGTCTCACTTTTTTTTGTTTTCAATTTGACATTTGGTGTAATCTTATCTATGTGGAAAGACTGTGCTAGTTGTAGTCGTGAGAAGACACTTTGGTGTTTTACATGTGAGTTTTTCTATTGACTTTTTATGATAAACAAATTCATGCTGTAGATTATCAATTATCAGTGCTGTTAGTACTGATTTTTTTCACATTTCATATCATTGTGTGTTTTGTAATGCCAGGATTATGAAGCTACAAAGGCTTGTACTACATTTTAGTAAATTGTTTGGTTACTTCAGCCTTGATGACCAAATAACTTACTAAAATTATTCAGTTAATTTTAGAAATGAAATACAAATGAAGCATGGAAATTGTTGGGAATTGTCTTTTGTATTAAGGATGATTCTTCTTTGTAGATCAGAAAGTTTTACTGTACATGTTTCATTAGCGTGACAGTATGAACAGAACAGTGAAGGAGAGTGCAACTTTTTGTTCAGAAAATGTGTCTTCCCACAAAGAGAAGAAACCCAAGTTTGATTGGCTGAGATAGCTTCTATTCTGCGTTGTTTCCATAGAATCAGTAGATTCACTGCAGTGAGAGCCTTGATTATGTTCTGGCGCGTAGATAGACCACAGTTAAACATTAAAGGGGCATAGTTGAGAATGTCACCTCTGGAACTATTTTATTTTATATTTTTCTGTCTCAAAGAGAAACTTTGTTGATAAAACTTGCCCAAATTTTCCTGAACAGCAATAAGGCTTTGCTATCCATAAAATCTCTTTAACTAGTACGTTATTTCAATTTCTTAAAAATTCCTAGCAATCTTTGTCGACACATTTTCTGAAAATATTTGAACTTTTTATTGTTCATGTGAACATGATTTTCCAATTGGGATTATTTTATAGAAAAGGAATTAAATGAGTTTCATGGAGTATGTGCTGAAAATTTTGCAATTGGTCTTTTCTTGTGTAGTGTTTGAAAAAATTTTCACAGTACTCCATGTTTTCCTTTTGTGTTTTTATTTTAGAGGAAATGTTGTCTTAATGTCCATTTCTGTAATTTTTATCATTCTTTGTTTAATTACCTTTTGAACTTGAGAAGTGCCCCTTTAATGCTGACTGATGTTTCTATCTTGTGCTGCGGACTGCAGTCCAGACGGCCCTGGTCATGGGAACCCCCCCGGGCACGCCCCTGGCCCTGGGCCCACCACAGGGCTGGGGGTCCATGCTAGTATAATCCACCACGGTAACACTGCCACTAGCAATGCTGCTTCCCCGCAAGAACCCACCTATGTTAATCTCTAGTCGATCATGAGCCCGAGGCCATCTGTGAGTCTTTACACAAACTTCCGTGCTTACTTCGAGGCATGCTGCAGTGTGCTGTGTTGTGTTTCATATTTAGTTCCTGTGGATGTATTGTAGAATTGATGTTGTGTTGTTTTGTTTTTTGTTAAGCTGCTAAATAACACATCACAGAACATGGATTTAATTGAAACCATTTAGATGCTTTCCAAACACTCCTGTGCAATATCATGCTGGCACAGTTTTTTCACATTGTTAACAAAGTGTATTATTAATACAATAACAACTTTAATTCAAGGGTATAATACTCACTATGAAATGTCTGCCACACTTTTATGTTTGCAGAATAACTGTAAAAACAATGTAGACTTGTTACATGTGACTCTAAAAGAATATACAAATCACACATGCATGATAACACTTTTCTCTCTTTTTTGGTGTTTAAATTTCAGATTTGGAGGCATGTTAAATGTAATCTTTAGTGGACATGTCACCTTACAACTCTGAAGTTAATGTTTTATTCAGATTTGTTGTTTGTTTGAATTGCCTTTTCATTTGTAATTTTGATGTTGACTTTATCGAGTGATGAAATGAGATATTAACACTAGTAGATTCTGTGTGTTTAAATCAAGAGCTGATTTTTATTATATTAAATTGTATTATTACATCAACAAGAAGAAGGATTAGTGACTGAATGAATAGTTGAATGAATGAATGAATGATGGAAGAGCATGAATGAGTCGTTTTGTTTTTTCTGTTACAGGTTGATGCATGTGCACATTCACTTACCCATTTTTGTTCTTCATTATTGTTTTCATTTTAGCTTGCAAGTAGTGATATAAATATTGTTTATATATTTCATTTCTAACTTATGTAACAGGATTTGTGGGTATGTCGGTGTATTTAGACACACTATAATTTTCAGAAGTAGTATGTTATGTCTTTTATCAGTATTCTCCAGTTGCGGATCCAGATGATGTTTAAGGACGGGTCAAATCCCCTTTTTTCCAGGACAACTAATTTTTTTATTCAAATTTCAAATTAGATTGTGTATATCAAAATAACAATTAAAATGTGAAATCTTAATAAAAGTAGTTACAGATATTTTGGTATGTAGAGAAGTTTATATAAAAGTTTAGGTACCAATGAAAAATCTTCATGTTCATCCCTCTTCTCCTGGATCCACTGCTGATATAGTCAATCAATTTTGTAATACAAGATAATTCATTCATAAGCAACTACTGATGATAGAAAACATAGTTCATTTAAAAATAAATATCCTCTTATTAAACAGTCTTGGAGCTTTTGCAGATCAATGTTATAGTGCATGATAAGATTTATGGTATGTAGTATATGCATCAGCTGTGTATGTGGTAGTATGTGTGTTCTATTGATGCAAAGAAAAATTGTCCTGAACATAATTGTTCTTCTTTTCTAGACGCAAGAAGAAATGCATCCGATACATGGAATCTGGTGACAGTGTGGATGGAAATCAATCGGAGGACAACCTGGGCAGCTGTGGAAGTGCAGGGGAAGCTCAGACACCACCTGAGGAAGACGGAGAGTCTCTTCACCATTCGCTTTCCAGTCCAGGCGGGCTGAGCGGGCTGTCGAGTCTGACAAGTCCTTCTATGATCCTCCCTAGCCCAAGTACAAGTTTGGCCAGCCCCTCGGTCAGTCTGGCCAGCCCTTGCATGAGTTTGCAGAGCCCACTCACTCCGCATGAGTCATCTGCATTTGAGTGTAAACCCTCCATGAACAGCCTGAGTGTGCTGTCAAACCACCAACCTGCTTCCACGTCATCGTCATCATCAGCAAATGCGGTGGGAAGTGGAGCAATGTCTGTGCACCATCACCACACTCCACACCACCCACCTCCACCTGGCCCACCTTTGCATCGGAACCCTGTGGGCACCAATCCACATGACATCAACAACCCTCTCAGTGTAAATCAATTGACAGGACAGTGCATTAAGACCGAAAATAGTAGTGGGAACAAAGATTCATCTTCGAACACACGACCTGTAATTAGTGTTACGTAGCATTCAGCCAAGTGCAACATTCAGAAGGCTTCCTCATAATTGGACCTCCAAGCTTCTTTTAGCAAGAGGATGAAAGTGTGGAAGAGGATACTTTCCTGAGCATCTTGTTTAAAGGAAAGCGACTTCTCTACAATGTTGCGTTTGCGTTGTAACTCCTGCTGCCGATAGCAAATTACATTGAATGCTGCTGGGAGAGGTGCATGTGTTTAAGTGTGTGGCCACTAAAAGATGGTTTTGAGGCTCTATGAAGACAATCAAGACCAGAAGAGAAAGAAGAATACTCAGGACGAAGTGTTGAAAGCTTACACAGAAGCGACAAATTCAAAACTGCATTTTTTGCAAACTTTTTTCATACATATGTGTGTTTTATTTGTGTTTTGGCCAAATAACTGTCTTTCTTTTATGAAAAATATATGTTCCTTTGTGCCAGAAATTGCTTGTTTTTAGACTTTTGTTTTAATTTTGTCTTTTATAATAATTGTGTACATGTTGTTTGATTTGAAGTCTATAATCACTGCAAGACATGAGCTAAATGTATTAAAAGATTTTTTGAATTATTTCAAAACAATTATGTAAAATAGTGTCAACATAGGGAATCTCTCATGTCCTCTCCATATTGCAAACCTTGTTAACTCTAAAACTGTTTTATTCCATCTTCCATGCTGTGCTGTTCATTGTATATTCAGGATTCCTTCAGCTATAACCTACCAAAGTTCACACGTTTCATTGTTGCCTATATTTTGTCTCATTGTATTGCAGATGTACAGTTTTTATGTTGAATTTTTAAAATTTAAGTATGGAGTTAATTAAAATTGAATATATGCAGAATGTATAGTATGTATATGAACACAGAATGCATCTTCATTTACATTGTCAAAGAAAGTTACTGGGTTTATTCAAAACTCAGAGTGCTTTATAAATCTTCTTTCTACATGAAATTGTGTGCCAGTACCAATCTCATGAAAGGAGCATGTTGGGCAGGGTACATTTAGGTGACCAAGTGGCAACATGTCTTTTTCTTTGTTTTAAAATACACTTATTCTTCAATATTTTTGCTTACTCCCTTGCAAAAAATAATTGTATTAAACCATACGTTTTGTGCCACTTATAAACAGCAAGTTGTTGGTTTTCTGTTAATAAATTTTCAAATTGGCATATATGTTATCCTTTAAAACTGTTGTTAACTTTTGATTTTTGTAAATTGAATTATAGTTGAAACAAATTTTCCTTTTATTTTTGTTATTATTTTCATCTTATTCCATTAGTGAATGTCAAGAGCAAAAACAAAGTACAATATAAATGAATGATAGGATTTGTAATAAAATGATTGAGAAGTGCTATTTCTTCTATGATAGCAATGTACAAAGCAAATAGTGTCATTTCAAATCAGTGCTACTTGACTTTTTGTTAATTTGTTGTTTGTATATTCCAACATCAAAAGATGCGGTAATGTGCTGTATTAAAACATAAGATTTTGTCTGTTTAGGTCTTACATCATTACTTCAATATATTGATCTCCTTGCTAATGATATTTTGATTTTGCCTTGGATCATTTCACATGCTAGATTCTTTAATGTTCATTGGAAGAGTTTAAAACTGTTTATTCTATGTGTTCAAAAATTAATCTTTACTCCTTTCTGTAAAAATGATGTTATGTTTTATCTATTTTGCTAAACAAATGTAATATTTCTTGCCTTAATATCTCTGTTTTATAGTTATTCATTAACTGCAGAAAGGGCATGTGAAAAACTAAATGTAAATGAGGTAATTTAGAATATTTACATTTAGTAATGAAGATTTTTTATGTATACATAATAGATAGGATATATGTTTTGTGCCAAATGCTTCCCATGTACAGTACATGTTTTCAATAATAATAGTGCAATTTTGTTCAAAATCAATGGACTGTTATTTATATCTGTTGAATGTATTTCATATTATAATACATTTAATCTTACAAATATATTTAGTCATTTTCAAGGAAGCTTTTGAAGGATGTGTTACTTAACTATAAACCTGATATGTTCTCAGAGTGCATTTGCGCTTCTTTAAGAGAGCAGTCAGATAAAGACTTGCTCACAATTTTTTCATCACACTGCCATGTAAATGTATTCTTACTTCTTATTTTCTTCTTATTTCAACATGAAGTTTTTGATTAATTTTGTTAGCAAATATCCCTGCCCATAAATGACCTTTCTGAATGTTCTGTAAAAATGTAGATTTAATTTTTGTTAAAAAAAATTTACCTGATGATTTACCTGATCATATATTGAGAAAATTATGTGCTTGTTTGGTGCACCTGGAAATAACATATATATATATAATATATATATATATTTATATATATATATATATTATATATTATATATATTTATATATATATATATAATACTACACCACACACACAACATTACATACTTCCATCAGTTTAAAACTTCTAAAGAATTTGGTCAAACTTGCATTTCTTTTAAAAATATTTACGAAAGTCTATATAAATGTGAGAGCTTACAATATTTATATTTGGGAAAGTTAGTGAAAGCAAGGAAAGTGAATTTAAAAACAATGTATTTCTGAAAGATTGCACTTTCATTTCAAATTCCAAGAAGGATCAAGGATGGATTTTGTCAAGAATTAAAACCAAAATATTATGAATTATGAAGTTTTTATCTATATCTCCTTGGTTATTGTTAAATAACCTTATATATCTTGGTTATATTTTTTACTACATTTTTATTTGCATTAATCTAATACATTTTGTACTTTGTTACAATTTTAGCATGAACAATATATTGTCAGGTGCATCTGATGTTTTATGTGATATTATTTGCTTATGTAATTAGATAAAGATCATTGATTCAAGATTTTTTTCTCCAAAGAGTAAAACTCATTTTTATGTCTGTGCAGTAATGAATGTGTAACAGAAATTGTGTCCCTACTCAAGATCCTTTTTCATGATAATGTCAATTTATGAGTATGCTTTATTCCATTCAATTTTGTTTCAGTTGTGCTTGTGTGTGTGTACACAAATATGTACATGTATTCTGATAATATATATATACTATAATTTATGTACACACACATATAATTGTATTCTTTTCTTTTAGTTTATATCTCATTGAAGTAAAAAAAAATTTGCTGGGAGAGTGCAATTATAACTTTTTAAAAGAAAATACGATATTAATTAGTTGCCATTTATTATTAATCTCTAATTCATTATTTGCATTTACAAATGTCAGCTTCCAGGAATGTTGTAAGAGGCACACAATCTTGTTAAGAATCTCTGGCTTCATTTTCTTTGTCAAGCACTTCTTTTGAAAATTTAAATTAATGCTCAACATTTTAAATTTAACAACTTGTATTTGCCTTCTCTAGCCTATTCATTGTTCTTCAGGTATTGATAAAATATATTTGTGTAATTGTGTTGATGAATATAATGTATTAGTCACGTTTTGAACACTGAGAAGTCAATGAAACATGAATAACATTTTAAAAAAGATTAGGTAAATTGAATGCTGAAAATGCATTTCAGACAAAATAGTATAACGTCCTAATTCGAGAAGAGATGAGGATGTTAAGAGATGAGCACATTTCTATAAGTTCTTATTAAAAATTTTAGTAAAACATTTATATGTAATTTACAATCAATCTGCAAGTTTACTGCAATCTGCAAGTTGCAAAATCTTACAAACTTTATAATTTTCAAAATCAGATAGCTAAGCACTTGTTGAAAACTTGAAAGAATGTATGAAGTCCATTTCTTTTTTCTTGTGAAAAGAAAGCCTTTCAAGCCTCATTATGGCAATTGTTTAGGTGCTCGAAGGTAAATGTAAATATGATTGTTTACTGAAAGAACACACAACGAAGATGTGAAGTATTTTCAATTTTATCAATGTTACATCCTGCTTCTCCTCCCTTTAAAAAGGAAACAAACTCCTCATCTTTTCTCAGATCATGAGCAGTTGTAATGTCATTTTTGAATCCCACAACAATATCTTTAGAATGAAGAAAGTAAAGGTAAATCAAAACATTTTAACATCTAACAGAGTGAACAAGTGCAGAACTCAAGTTTCATAAAAATTCCCATTTAACAAATAATTATTTTGTGTTGTAAAATTAAAGCACTGAGATTAGATTCAGTATTGAGTTTCTTTGCATCCAAAATGTTTAGTTTCCTGCATACAAAAATTTATCAGATCCTTAATTATATGGTTTACACACTTCTTATAAAATGTATGTATAGATATTGTTTTATTGAAAATTTTCAAACAAAATTATAATTTGCAAATATGCAGTGTACAATTGCATGGAGAAATATCCCTGTATTATAAATATCTTTAGTGAGACACATGAATTCAACTGAATGAAGACACATGAATCTCTAAACAGACAAAATGTTGTGTCAGTTTCTCTTCTTGAAAACTTTGGTATTGTTTCTTGTACTAGTAGGAAATCTCAACAGCCCTGTTACCCATTGTGTATAGTAAGTGTATAATAAACAGCATTGAAAATGCGTGGATGTTACAATGCAGTTAAAGCAGTTACATTATTAGTGTATAATGTAACCTCAGTATCTAGAGGTAGCTCAGATAATGTCTTGTATAGTAGCTATACCTCGGTTTCCAATATTTGTTGTAAGTAAAGATGCGTCAATTTACAAAAGAGGGTAAATTCTTATGATTAAAAACCCTACACCTCCTACCAATTTCTATTTTCAGGAGGGAAATTATAAAAATGTTCCACTTTTTTGTGATTATTTTTAACAAAATTAAAAATTGGTAAGTAACAAAAAATTATACTCTGTCTAGAAATGTCATCCAGTCTTAACTTTTCTTGGAGAAAAAAATTACTTGCAGAAAAAATCTTTATCATTTTTTTAAAACTTTTTTATGTCATTGCCTTATATCCATATCAACCAGGGGGTTGGTGTTCTTTAGTGTACAGCGATATCACATGTACCCGTCCATAGACCCATGGTGTCTTAAACTGCTTAACCCCTGGGCCCCCTGGGCCTTCACAGAGCATGGTTAAGCAGTTTGGCTACCAGCATTGACAGACACTATTTTTGGGTTACATGGCATTTATTTTCAGGGAAAAACAGACATTCAAAGATATTTACTTAAAAACTCTGGTTAAAGGTTACTAAAAAAACAAAATTTATTGTTTTTAATTAGTATTAACTTTTCTATGCTTTTTCTTATAGACATACATTTTCTTTAGTCTATATTTTACGCATGTGGAATGAATGGAAATAATAAGAAGTATGCATATAAAAATTATTTAATTTCACAAAAAAAAATAAATATTAGGTGATGCAACCACTAGAATATTTAAGATATTATAAGGTATATTATTTCCATTGTACTGATCTTTCGTGGCTCTCAAACCCAACCAATCTCAAAAGGTTGGGTGTGGGAAAAAGAGAAATTCAAGGAGGGGTGAAGAATTATATTTTAATGTAAATTTATTTGTTTGTGTTTTATCATTCTGGAATCCACAAAGAAATGAGATCTTTTGGGTTGTTCTATTATGTTTTTAGCAGTTCCCTTACCCCCATAGCACGGTAGTTCAAGATTTGCAGAATTTTGGATTTTATGTGAAATTAAAGCGACTATTAGTAGAGAATATTTTAGCAATCGGTAAAAATGTGACATATTACCAAATGCTGAAAAAAATGATTAATTGTATGTTTGACGATCAGAGCAGTATATTTCTGGAGGTTTTTAATCTACAATAAAATGCGAAATGGTTTGTGAATCTGAGATATCATTTGCTAAATTGCATTTTATGGTTTCTGTCATGTTCACTCTCTAACTATGGTTGCAACATTGACGACAACACATCAATGTTTTAAAACTTTTAATTTAGGAGTGGCCATGTTTATTAATTTATAATTAAGACTTAACTGACCAAGCAAAGTAAAAATAACAAGAATTTTAGAAGTGATCCTGAAAGCCTGAACGTCTAGGGTGATCTCAAGGGGCCTCAGCTTCCTCAGTTTGCTGTATGGAGCAGGTCATGAAGAAGAAGAAGAAGACGACCGTTAGACTATGAGGCACACATTACATTTTTTTTTTCCTGTTCTTTTATATTTGGTGAAATTCACAAATGGTGACATATTATATTAGTTTTTGTTATATCCAGATTTTAATAGGAATATCTGAAAAAACATCAAACTATTTTTTTATCTTTGAGAATCCTTCCTTAATAATAATTTACTCAACAAATGCTTCAAAATCTTTTATGTGCTGAGAAATGCTACAGCCTTCTTTTCAAAATGTAATTTTTTCAAATTTAAAGTGTTGACTTCTACTATCATTAATGGTTAAGTATTCTTTGCTTTTATGCTTCACCAGTATCTTTTTCCTTTATAAATGTGTGTGTGTGTCTTACTTTGTTTAAGTAGTTTATGAAGTTATTTTAATGCATCGATAAATCATCGTGAAGATTTTGATAGAACCGTAAGTTTTGATATGCATTAGCACATTTCATGCACGTAAAAGACTTACAGCAGGTGTTAATTTTTGGGGGTTCTTTCTATAAAAGTTACTTTGATATAAGTTACAAATTTCTTTGATCCATCTACTACATATATACAATAATAGTTTTAGTAGATGGATCAAAGAAATTTGTAACTTATGCAACTTTTTCTTTTCAAAATTATAGACATTTAAAAGATGACAAGTACAATTGTTTCAAAATATGAATAGTTTGGTGGAATGGAATGTAGAGTGAAATTGTAGCAATTTTCAAAAGTCATATAAACATATTTTTTGCACAAACTGCTTCAAATCTTATCTTTAAAGTTTTTGTGTGGATAGAGTTAAATGAACTGTAACATGTAATGTGAATTATCTTCACCATAACTTTTCATTTATTCATAAATAACAAATTGATTTTTTTAAATATTTTGCACTCTGCTAATATTTACTTTACAGCATATTTCATAATTTATAAATCTTAAAAGTTCAAATGAACTGAAATTGGTTCATTTTTGTAAACGTACTATCAAAATATTCTTAAGAACAGCAAAAAAATTTCGTAAAAAATTATATTCAAGAAGATATAAAAATTCTGAAAGTCTCGTATCAATTTGAGAATTGGAAATTGAAAATGTTTATAAAAAAATTATATAACACTTCATTATAAATACTTAAGAAAAGAACTAAACTAAATCATTGTGTTATTTGAGAAGCTCTGTATATTTTATTTTCTGTTAAGTAAGTTATAACATATGATATGACAAAAAAATTGGCTCACAATTGGCGACAAAAATCAGTATCTAAAAAAAATTGAGTACGTTTGCATTGCA